GGTCAAATGACTTATTTTCCCGGCATTATATATGTGTTCACACAAAAACGTAATCGTTATAATCCCAATGTAGAGCCTACGGTGGCCACCGTGGCTAATGGTCACTTCTTGCCCAATGGATACTGTCTTGACGTTGTAGGATCTGCTTGGAGATTAAGAACTTCAGCCTCAAAGTCTGCAATAGAGACTAACACGAACGACATATTCCATCCCAGCGCAGTTCTGTTGGTCTACACGGGTACAAATATTTACAGAAATCCAGGTCTTACCATTCCTGTCTACACATCTCGCTCTGACACTGAACACTGGACTCTTTTTATTTACACAGACGCCACCGGTTAGAACTTCTAAGTGAACGGAATTTGTTGTAGCTGTGAGTGTGTTATCGAGATAAATCCCCTCAAGTGGGTCTTAAAATAGTCCGACAGCAAAGAAAGCTCCGCCAGACACTTAAGCAAATTGAATTTTCTAACCTTACACGTCTAGTGTCACCTACTTCATACAAAGTTAAAAGAATATTACGAAGATTCAATTTCTGATTAAAAAATGGACCTGAAGAAATCTAGCTAATGATTTTCCTAATAAAAATTGACGGGAGTTATTTGATGTGCGTGATACGGTATCCTTTACCCGAGTGGGGCGAAACAATGATCAGCCCTGGTAGCGAGGGAAACGCAAATAGCTTCACCATGTTTACATTGATTGATAGGGTAATATAACATTGATTCTACACTGGCCGGCTTATATACATGTACAAGAAAAAACCCAGAAAAGAACGGCCCTGGGCGATTTGAAATCTGTCTTCCCTCTTACGCAACAAACAGACCACTTAAAGGAACACGATAAGGTACAAGCTTGTCTTCGGGAACGCTCTTTTAAAAACACATGACCTTTTCGTCCCTGCTATCGTGGAATTCTAAGAGCTCTTGCAGCGAAAAGATACATCATTTTACAAACAAGCCTTTCTTCAACATCTTGGTCCTGAAGATGCGAACTTATGGTAGTTAAATTACGGGGAGGCTACATTCGTCATAGGGCTTCGTACGGTTTTTATACCGTAGAATCTGTAAGCCTTCATAGCATGCCAAAACTGGGGGTTTGGGGGTCTTCAGGAGCTTTTATGTGCTATTTTCTGATTGCATATAGACAGCATAGCCGGCCTGGCTGAATTACCCCCGGTTTTAGAACTGGGCTAGTCAGAAAACAGCGGAAGACCACCAAACCCCCAGTTCTATAAGCCTGCTACGGAGGCTTAGAGCCAACAAGACAAATTTGTCTTGTCCGGTAACTAGACAAATGATCTGCCTACGACTAATTCAAGGTGGTTTTGTTGGTTCTTGAAACTGAATAATGAACCAATTTACAAAGCATCGACATGGTAATAAATACAGGTAATTAGATAATGTATAGTAAGACTAATGCACCTATAAATTGCAAGAATATACATTCGAACAACATTCGTACGGGATCGAACAACATTCCTACAACAAATGCGGCCCGTCCCTTACTTGAACCTTGAGCCACTTCGTTCCAGTATGTGTTACTGTATAATCTTAAAATTCCAGAGCAACTAACAGTTCTGCCTTATCTACCAAAAACAACTCGTTGAAAAGCTCTTGAAGATCTAAGCCTGTTTACCAGCACATTCCTCTATGTTAACCTTTAAGAAGACGTTGCTAGACTGGAACTCGTTGCCACCAAGCACAGTTGGGGCATCATAACTAGAAAGCTTTAAACAACTCCTGCAATCAAATGTGCAAAGATCGAATGTAACAAGTCGTTCGGTGTGATATAGCTAGCTGCCGCCGCGCCGCGTGCCTGCGAAGCTGGTGTGTTACGCCGAAGGGCGGTTATACCGGCTGTGCTGATACAGATTACAGATTTGTCCCTGTATAGACTAAGTACTGGTTATCCTCTTGGCGTGTCCCTTTTACGTTTGCTGGATTATGTTTGGTCAAGCTGTGTTGGTGGTGGATAGTTAAAAATCATAACCGTCCACCAAATTATGTATTATTTAAAAACCGTAAAACGTATGCATACAACTTATACGATATTCATCAACCTACGTAAACCTTAAAACGAACATGAATACTATATCTATATACATATATATATACATCCTGATCACTGTTCTTACAATAAGTCATATTGGATTGTTATTTTGCTAAATAAGAATTTAACGCTGGACTCAGGGCGTCTGAAGTTGTGTATAGAGATATGTGGGAATGGATCTACATTTGAATTATTGGGGACTAAATGTGTTCCTGTTATTGAAGACGATCAGAAATTCTAGTAATTCTGCCATCTAATTTAATTTCAGCAACAATGTATTCCATAGACTGTACTAAAACCCTGTACACAATACTAAAACCCAATTAAGAGTCAAGCTAAATCTTAGTTATTCAGTTAACACGTACCTACCTTTTACACGTGTACACTGAACACCTTACACACAGAAAATAAACAGACACACACACACACACATACACACAAACACACACACACATACAAACACATACACACGCACAAATACAAACACACACACACACGCACACACACACACACAAACAAACAAACACACAAACACACACGCACACACTCACACACAAACAAACAAACACACATATAAATACACACACACCATACAAAATCCCATCAGCAGAGGCATACATGTACCATCCCATGATGGAGACCTTCAGCCTACCTTCCATCCCTTAAGACATTCCCTCCTTGCGTCTCGGACCCGTTCCACGTCTTCAGCCCTCTCCCTCCTCCCTTCAGCGCCTTGAAGAGTGCGGACTCCCTCTCTCCGGTCAGGTAGATGAAGAAGACGCAGCTGAAGGTACCGCTGAGTAGAGCGGCGGCGGCCAGGCGCGTGAGGAGGGGCCGCCGCGCGAGGTACCACCTCCCCGCTCCCTCCCGCATCGCTCACCGTGCTGCAACCCGTTCAGCCTCGCACCGCATCCTTTTGTTGGCACACAGACACTGAGGAGGATAAAAAAAGAATTAAAATAAAAAACGGCTCTCGTGATGAACGCGGTCGATTCGGAACGGGCGGACCCCGAAATTTCACACAATTAGTCAGCGCGCCGAGCTGTGACCGTGCGCGGATGGGGGAGAGAGTACAGGCTGGTCATCATTGGCTCCTGCAGACGTGCGGATGTGCCGGCAGAGAGATTGAGTATTCCGCGCACGCCCCGGAGCTGTATAGGTGCGCAGTGGTTCACAGAACTGCAACAGGGAAACCTTTATATACATACGTATCACGGTAGAGATTTGCGGCGATTCTAACAGATCTGTCTGGTAGATCGGAGTCTCTGATGGTACACGCTTCGATTCATAATCAGTATCATACACATACAGCATTAAAAGATAGTTAGGTTTTATGGCAAACACTGACTATCTAAATTAGCAGCGGTTCACAGAACTGCAACAGGGAAACCTTTATATACATACATGTCAGGGTAGAGACTGCGATCTGGTAGATTTTGGCGATTTTACCGGCTACAATCTGATTCTGTTCTACATCATACACGTACAACATTTAAAGATAGTTAGGGTCTATGGCAAGCACGAGCTATTTTAATGATATCAGTAGCTACCAGTATAGAGGTGCGCAGTGGTTCACAGAGCTGCAACAGGAAAAGCTTTACATACATACGTGTCAGGGTAGAGACTGCGATCTGGTAGATTTGGCGCTATTCTAACAGATCTGTCTGGTAGATCGGAGTCTCTGATGGTACAATCTGCGATTCACAATCTATCAGTATCATGCACATTCATCATTAAAAGATACTTAGATTTTATATCAAGCACGGGCTATTTTAATGATATTAGTAGCTACCAGTATTTAGGTGCGCAGTGGTTCACAGAACTGCAACAGGGAAACCTTTATATACATTTATGTCACGGCAGAGACTGATATATCTGGTAGATTTGGCGATTCTACCGGTTGGTACAATCTGATTTATGTTCAGTATCATGCAAGTACAGACTATTTAAATGATATCAGTAATGCGATTTAATCGTTAACTTTTAGGATATGTTGGGCAATGTAAAGTTATAACAATAGACCTCATCCCCTCTGCCGGTTCAGTTGATTGAAAGACTGTTATGATTTAGATGATGATCGTTACGACATTTGTTGTGACAAAATTTTACAGTAAACAAATTTTACAGTAAACAAAACGACTTGGAAGATGATACTCATACAAGAAACATTTACCTTTGTCTTCTTTTATTTCTCTATTCAATGATGATAATAGACGGATATCTTTATTCATCATTTGTTTGGTAAACGGTATCACTGCATTTGCTGATATTAGTAGTATGTGTTCCAAATTATTTATGAGTTATGTTCTATTGTTTCAAAATAATGATAAGAACATTATGACAAAACACAGAAACCACATGCGACTGGCGCCACAAAAATCCTTTACATATATATTGTATCCGCATGTCCAACTCCCTGGGGGTGAACCTAGCTCGCGGTTCGCATATTGATGATTCGATGTTGCCACATCTAGAGATGAGCGAACGTTGTCTGAATCAAAACCACAAGCCTTCGTTTCGCGGCTTCATCACTTACATTTCTTGCGTGTCGTTGAAGAATATTTTGATTTCCAATGTGTGATTGTTGACTTTTCGGGATGTTGATTTTGCATAATTTGATCATTCAACAATTCATTTTCATTTGTCTATGTAAAAGCACCGCAATCAGAATGTCATAATGGAATTTTCACATTACAAGGTTACTGATTTTCATATCGCACATCTTTGCATGCTTTATCAATATCTATATCATTCCTGCTACAAGTCTGTTGCCTTATGACAGACAGTTAGAAAACGCATAGATAGTATCAGCGCGAAGTTTACGGTAAAGATTCAAAAGAAATTTTGAGGATATGAAATCTTCGATATCTTGTGCAGCCCCTGATGGCCCCTGATATTCTTGGTGACATGAACATACAATGTAAACAGTGAAAACTATTCAGTACAGTACAGTAAAAAAACATGTTCCTCATCGTTACATTTTAAACACGTAGGGATATGGCCTTCGTCAGTCCATATTGACCATAGTAAAATCATAACTGTTCACAGGCATAGCCAAAGCCCTACTGCTAGGGTTTTGGCTATGCCTGAACGGTCCTATACGAGAATGAAATTCCTATACAAAAAGGAGACGATCTAACAATCACAATAAACCCATCACAGATTATGTTCCTTTCATTTGTATATAACGTAAATTTCGTTTTGTCCCGAACATGTGTTTTTTTTCTGTATGTACCCTGCAAGAGTAGCCTTTTGGGCTAAAGGCATCGAAATAAAGACAATAAAGACAAGACAAAACATTTTGTATTGTTCCATTCTTAACAATCAGAGAGAGAAGTCGGAGGGCAGATCACACGAGACTCTTCTTCAGTCAACATTGACCGTAGTAAAACCAATGACATTATACAGAAATAATCATTTTTGTAAAATTCATATCAGCCCTACAGCTTCAGGTTTGGCTGAACGAGGCTGTATGAGAATGGCATTCCTACACAATATAAAAATCGCAATAAACCCATCACAACAGCATGTTCCTCATCGTTACATTTTAAACACGTAGGGATGTGGTCTTCTTCAGTCCATATTGACCATAGTATAATTATCCTACTTGATATCAGCCCTACAGTGTTTTAATTTTTGCATGGACCCTGCAAGATTAGCCTTTTGGGCTAAAGGGCATCGAAATAAAGACAAGACAAAACATTGTCCTTATTGTTCCATTCTAAGCACGCAGAGAGAGAAGTCAGAGGGCGGATCACGCGAGGTTGTACTGTGGTTGATGGATGACTCCGTGTGGGAAACGTGAAGACGATCGTGACAGATGGTCACGCTATCTGGTCCTGTCTGTCACAAAACGTTCCGCTACACATCATCATACTATTGTGTAGCCTCCTTTTCAGGCGTTCCCTGATCGGTCTCTTTTTTGGGGGGTGGGGGGCTAGGGTTGCCAGCCGGAGCTTCTATTGCGTGCGATCTACGTTTGATCAGAAAACACACACACACACACACACACACACACACACACGCACACGCACACGCACACGCACACGCACACACACACACACACACACACACACACAAAACCGACCGATCCGGGAACACCTGAAAAGGAGGCTACCTGTTGTGGCCGTATATGGTAGAGGGGATTCATTCCTCAAGCTAACCGACATCTGGAGGCGTATACTTCCCGTTTTATAGAACTTTTATTAAGACTTTCACACGATCGGTTTCGCCCTGTGGGATTCTTCAAGTGTACAGAGGATATAAAAATTTTACAGTAACCTAGACAAACAATGCTCACCAGTAGACACAGGAACCTATCTGGTCCTGTCTGTCACTAAACGTTCGGCTGCATATCATCATCCTGCTGCGGTCGGTTAGCTTCGACTGCCTTTAGCTTTATTGGCTCAATACTATGTATAACTTCGCGGAAGGAAAACATACTGTTTTTGCTAAGTTTCTTCTTCTTCTTCTCCAAACAAATAAGGTCAATGACCTGGACCAGATAGCTGTCACCATGGTAACTGGTGCTGTAGCAGGCACCTTGTGGCGTCGGGTTACATATTGTTTGTCAGTGTCGTTTGGACCACTGAAAAGCAAAATAACGCTGTACATTTTAGCCTGACTAATCGCGCTCCTGGCGGCCGGCCGCCCCGGCCGAAGTTGGGGTGGGGGTCATTAACCTCCGGCCGAGAGCTTGTGTAACACAGGCCATGTACATTTCAAGTGCATTCAAACCAATGTCTTGTATCATGATCAGCTTTACTCTCAATCTAAAAACTGATACTAGTAGTGTGGTGCTGCCATTAGACCATTCGGACTATCTTCTGATCTAAAACCTCCAATTGTTTCATAACTAATCTCCAAGCAGATCTCTCTCGGTGGCAAGACAGTATCCATTAGCCAGGAGTTTAAACGGCCAACGAAAGATCTGCGGACAGTCGAAACGTCAAAGGCTATTAACACCCTGTTGTTGCCTTTATATATCAAAATGTTCTTGCCAAGTAGTTTATTGCCCTGACCACCAGGCAAAGCTCTTGCCCTCTTTGTCCTCCTCTGGCCAATGGACACTGCCTTGCCACTTTTGAGAGTTAAAATCATTTTTATTAAGTTTTCACAAAAATTCAAGACGAATAATCAAAAACACCTAGGTCAATCCCTTAATATAAGAAACTCACGGGACGCAATGTAAGTATGCGTGCGTCGGACTATCTGGACGCCGAAACTGCAGTTGTCTAATCAATATAATAAAAGTTACACAATTGATATATTGAACTGATTGACTATTGCACTTCTACATGTAGTAAGCTACTTACAGCATGAGAACAGTCCCATAGGTTTTTCCCAACCAACAGTATTCCTTGCACAGTAAATGACATATGAAGTACAGATTGCACATCTTCTTGGAGATTATTCATAAGGCCACACCGTCTTAATTTTATGGATGACATCCTCTGAAGACCCCCAGACTAGTGCGCGCGGGCGAATAAAAAAAAATTCCGGGCAAAAATAAAAATGTTACTAAACCACAGGAATTGCTGATATTGTGAATTGCTGGCTTTTTGCGGAATTTATGAATCGGCACTTCTGTATGTACTGAGTTCTTGAGTCGTGGAGCTTCGGTAAGCTGGGTCCCCGGCTCCGTATTGTCACTAACTACCATGGACTACCTAGGCCTAGAGCCAGGCCAGAGCCTCGAAGGACGTGATTTTTTTTTTTCTTTGAGAACAGGCGAAAATCAATGCGCGCGCGGATGTCATTCATAAAATCAAGTCGGTGTGGCCTAACCGCTGTCAGGAAATCTATCGTGAATGACGTCACGCCATCCTCACACGTCAGTCTGGAAACGCTCAGCCATAAATCATCCTAGTGCAATGACGCGTGTTGGTCCCTAGGGGGCGCATCTCATCGCTCGCTTACAACAGTATGTCATGTTGACAGCTCTCCTCCGTTTGATGTTGCTGGTCGGCAGAACGTACTGCGTTACTCTCCAAGCAGAGGTTGGGGTGTTGGGGGCATTTTTAGCGTGTTTTTATGCTTTTTTATCGGGGTTTCTCTTTTGCACTGATTTTTTTTGTACCAAATGTGGGGGAAAAAATCAGTACAAAAGAGAAACCCCGATAAAAAAGCATAAAAACACGCTAAAAATGCCCCCAACACCCCATCCCTCTGCTTGGAGAGTAGTACTGCGTGTGTAACCCGAATTTTCCATATATATGGTTTTCGTTGAATGTTTGGTCTGTGACCAGGTGTTGTCATAATATTACATTTTAACATTATAACATGACGTTAGCAATTGAGCAAACGCACCAGAGGGTATACATGTATATCAAAGCACTCCAGCCATCATTTAAAAAAATGTGACGGTGGACGTCATAAACTACCTGGCACAAAGATTCATGCTAAAAAGGATGCTGACAAAACACAAAAATCTAGCTGGCTCTCACATCTTATTAGCATGATGTGCATCAGGATAGATAAGTATAGTATTAATACACAATGTACTATCATCTGTACAGTCATTTTTCCCAGACTGTTACTCTGAAGATTCATTTTACTTCCATTGTTACTATGCAGATTCATTTTATTTCCATTGTTACTATGCAGATTCATTTTACTTCCATTGTTACTATGCAGATTCATTTTACTTCCATTGTTACTATGCAGATTCATTTTACTTCCATTGTTACTATGCAGATTTAACTTATTTCCATTGCTACTATGCATATTCATTTTAATTCTATTGCTACTATGCACATTCATTTTACTTCCATTGTTACTATGCAGATTCATTTTATTTCCATTGTTACTATGCAGATTTATTTTACTTCCATTATTACTATGCAGATTCATTTTACTCTCCCATTATTACTATGCAGATTCATTTTACTTCCATTGTTACTATGCAAATTCATTTTACTTCCATTGTTACTATGCAGATTTATTTTACTTCCATTGTTACTATGCAGATTCATTTTTCTTCCATTGTTACTATGCAGATTTATTTTATTTCCATTGTTACTATGCAGATTCATTTTACTTCCATTGTTACTCTGCAGATTCATTTTACTTCCATTGGTACAATGCAGATTTCTTTTACTTTCATTGCTACTATGCAGATTTCTTTAACTTACATTGTTACTATGCACATTTATTTCATTTCAATTTTTACTATGTAAATATGACACAAAAACTGGCTTACATGGCACAATGATTCACTTTGAGGTCTTGTATTTTACCAGTGTCTTCTTGAACGTTAACACAGGTGGTGAGAGCTCGGCCTGTCGCTTACGGACGTCCTGCAAAGGAGTGAGCAAAGGTATCATCAATTAGGTGTGGAATATCTTTAGACAATTCCAATTATGAATGCATAAAGAATCAGTGGTTAGTGTATGAATATGGTAAAGTTCAAAACTAGTAACAACAATGATAGTCGTTTGGAACATAGTCAAGAGTTATATATTAAATGTGAAGTACCTGGTGCCACTTGGCATATGAAGAATATAAGGAAATTGCAGTTTTTGTCATTCCACTTGTTTGCATTAGCAGGTTTTCTGTAGGTAGACGAGATGTAGTGAGCGCAGTGTTCTTTGGAGTCGTTATTACTTGGCTCCCCCGAAGCCCAGTAGTTGTAGCTTCCAAGTGCAGAACCATCGATCCACTCGAAGCTTCCTTCTTCGCGCCGATCATGGAGACCAAACCAGAAGTAGGCGTTTTTGTCGACGGCGTTCTTGAGAAAGATGAGGACGTAGTTTGTGGCAGCGTCTCGGGGCATGGCAAGGGTGCCGCCATCGACGCGACAGTAGAGAGCCGAGTCCGCAAAGTTCGCCAGGGTGTTGAACGCCTTGTAGCAGGTTCCACGGAACTTAGTGTAACCTTCAGGGCAAGATGCTATAACCAATGCTTCACATTAATGAAATATTTGTAGAAATTGAATATGTTTTATCAAAAATAGGGCACAAAGTTTCAAAATAATGTGTCTCATACGATAATGAAAGAAATGTAAAAAAAAACAGATTCACAATTCACAACTAAATTAAACTAAGCTGAATAAAACAAAACAAAAACGACTAAAACAAATATTGATTTGGTTATTTAAGCATTTGAGTTGTGTTTCTGGTATAGAATTGTTGTGTTACCTTTGTTTAACCTGACTGGTTTCAGATGTTCCGGTGGTCCGGCAGCTTTTCCATTTGGGCCAGGAGGACCAATTGGCCCCATCAACCCTGCAGGGCCAGGTGGCCCAGGGGGCCCGGCAGACACAGGGCCAGGTGGGCCCATGGGCCCCTTTTCTCCAGGGGGCCCGGCAGACACAGGGCCAGGCGGGCCCATGTGCCCCTTTTCTCCTAGTGGACAGGCAGACACAGGGCCAGGTGGGCCCATGGGCCCCTTTTCTCCTGGTGGACCGGCAGACACAGGGCCAGGTGGGCCCATGGGCCCCTTTTCACCTGGTGGCCCAGACGAGCCTGGGGGACCAGGTGGTCCCATACTCCCCAAAGTTGCCGGAGACACGCCCATCCCTGAAAGACGATAGATTATCGTTCAGCTGAAAATAAGCAGTGAGGTACATTTACACAAACTATAGATAAACTGACATGACATGTGCTGTGACATTTTTCTCTGTAAAATAATATGGTTAAAATGACATAGTTGTACAAATACATACTGGATGTCACTATCTTGTAAATATCAACAAGACTTCATATTTCATCTGGTATTCTACGTTATCAGGTCATGATACTAACGCTCAAGATCCGCACGTAGTAACTCAGCCATCCTGCCCCGTGATGTAAGATTGGCCACCTCAGCAGAAAGCGTCATCACTTTAGCTGGATTTAAACAACAAGAGAAATAATTTGTTGGTCTGTATAGTAATATAAACTATATATGCAGCATAGTAATTTGAACAGTATATATAAAGTTTGCAAGTACTAGTATTCAATCATTGTATTACACAGTGCACACAATTAAAAAAGCTGACCTGCAAAATATGGCACCAGCATGGCGTTGCCCATGACTAACAGAAAACCCAGGGTTAGCCACAGCTTCTTGCACAAACCGCTGCCATTGGAAACGCTGTCCGGTGCCGCATCGTAGGCCGCTGTTTGATTGAAGAAATAAAAAGTACTACCATACCGAAAGACAACAGTGACTGAAGAAGTATCCAAAGAAGAATATACTCAAATGTAATTGTGGTCCTAGCTTTTATGCGAGGGATAAGTTGCAGACTCCACTGAACCTTTTTTAATCAACTGCGCACAGTTTACTGAGCGCAACCGGGTTTTGATTGTCTGCCTCTGCCTGATTGCTTGTCGGCGAGGGAGAAAGACTTCAATTGCATCTTTGGTGTGATTCATGTGAAGTCGTTTGCTTTATTGTTTGCTTTGTGCAACATTTAAAAGCCGAGTTGCCGTCTATTGTGCAAATTAGACTGTGTGACATTTTAAAAATTTTATCAACACGAAGCCATCGTTGTAATAACAACACTAGTTGAAAATGGCAAAAAAATACACGAAGTCCATATTTAGGTCCTGATTGTAAGCAGCTTAAAAATATATAAAATTAATTTTGTGCATAACATATTCATATCAGCGCACAAGAATACTAACGTGCAACTTCACTTGAAATGCAACCATCACTGAAAATGACAGACATTAAAATGTCCCTGCAACTCAACTGTGACTGGTCAATGTTTTACCTGCTCGGCAGCCGTACGCAGGGTTGGCGGTTGCCGCATCATCGGTCTCTGACTCGGTCTGAGACTGCTGCATGGGGGCGGTGCCTGGGGAAATATTTTGTTCCTCAAAAATCATTCTCTAGAGTCATGTATGAAATTATTTGGGATACCTAAGCCGATCTTTACCCTGGAAAAGTTTATGCAAATTGTATTTAACTTACCAGTTGGGTCCTGCTGCTGCCGTCTCGGCATGATGTCTGCTCCTCAGAATTCCTGACAGCAAAATCACACCCTACACCAGGCTAGAAGCTTGTTGACTGAACCACAGTCCTAGACCAATATGGCAAAAACTTGAAAGCCTCCTCAACTGGATTTAGATTCAAAAGATGAAACGAACCATGCGGTATGAATTAGACATAACACGTATACTCCTCGGGATAGACAAATTAAATGAATTAGTAATTGTTTTCAGCACTATAAACAACTTCTTCGGCTATCACATTGCAATTTTATCATGGAACTTCTACTCTGTTGGCAGTAATATTAGTACGATGCTGAACTTTATTCCAACACTAGATACGCAGAGATCAAATTTTCAACGACCACTGTCGCCTTTACCAGGATAAAGAATGACCAATCACTTCCGAACGTAAACTCGCGAGAGTTACGGTTACAGGCACGTGACCTTATTCACACGAGACTTTACGGATACGTTGTAACAGTGGGGGTTTATAGGCGCTACCAATTGATCCGGTAAACGGGTCTAGACCTTTTAGCGGAGAGGTTAGAGTGTCTGACTGGGAGGTTGTGGGTTCGAACCCCGGTCCGGGACCAGTGGGGTTTTTACTGTCTCCTCCTGTTTCTTACAACGTGACGTCAACAATTGATCAAGCGTGTCAGGGGTATATATCAAAGCACTCCAGCCCTCATTAAAAAACACGAGACGGTGGACGTCATAAACTACCTGGCACAAAGATTCATGCTAAAAAGGATGGTGACAAAACACAAACATCTAGCTGGCTCTCACATTTTATTAGCATGATGTGCATCAGGAAAGATAAATATAGTATTATTACACAATGTACTATCATCTGTTAATAATAATAATAATAATAGATGGTTTATTGAAAGTAATTTTCAGCCACCGGGCTGAATTGCATACCTTGTACAATTGCTAAAACATCTTAAATTACAAACTAACAGTACTCATTGAATTAACTCGTTAAGTCATTTTCCCCAGACTGTTACTATTCAGATCCATTTTACTTCAATCATTACTATGCAGATTTAATTCACTTGCAGTGTTGCTATACAAACACTGTTAATATACAGAATTCACAAATTGTACATCCAAAGAGATAGACCTGAAAGGCCCTCATATTCTCTACTATTTAGAGATCATGCAACAATTCTAAATTCAAGGAAGGAACAAAGATGATGAATATAAAACATGTAGGTTACTGCTTACATTTACTTCAATTCTTACTATGTAGATTCATTTTACTTCCATTTTTCCAATGCAGATTTATTTTACTTACATTGTTACTATGCAGATTCATTTAACTACTTCTATTGTTACTATTCAGATTCATTTTACTTCCATTGTTTCTATGCAGATTTCTTTTACTTCCATTGGTACAATGCAGATTTCTTTTACTTCCATTCTTACTATGTAGATTCATTTTACTTCCATTGTTACTATGCAAATTCATTTTACTACTTCTATTGTTACTATGCAGATTCATTTTACTTCCATTGTTTCTATGCAGATTGGTACAATGCAGATTTCTTTTACTTCCATTGCTGCTATGCAGATTACTTTTACTTACATTGTTACTATGTAGATTCATTTCATTTCTATTTTTACTATGTAAATATCACACAAAAACTGGCTTTCATGGCACACTGATTCACTTTGAGATCTTGTGTTTTACCAGTGTCTTCTTGAACGTTAACACAGGTTGTTTAGAACTCGGCCTGTCGCTTACGGACGTCCTGCAAAGGAGTGAGCAAAGGTACTATCAATTAGGTGTGGAATGTCTTTTCGAGTTTCCGTAATGAATGCATAAAGAATCAGTGTTGAGTGTATGCGCATGGATAAGTTTAAAGCTGGTTAAGTGGTGCTCGTTTGGAATAGTGCCAGGAAATGCTATGTTCATGCGAAGTACCTTTAGTCTCTACCAGGCTAACTACGCTGGCTAAACATAGGAAAACATTTGCCAGGGGAGTTTGGCCAGTTTCATTGGCCACGCCTGGCCAATTCAAAACCCTCCTTTTTGCCAAATGCTACGATCTGTATTCCTGTTGGAAGGCCTTGTGGAGGCTTTAAGTACCTGGTGCCACTTGGCATAGGAAGTTTCGTAGAACGTTGCAGTCGTTATCATTCCACTTGTCCCCTTTCCAGTAGTCAGCGCAGTCCTCCTCGCATGCCTCTTCACCATTGTTTGGTTCTCCCGGATGCCAAGAGCTGAAGCTCCCAAGTGGAGTACCATCGATCCACTCGAAGCTTCCTTCTATGCGCCGATCATGGAGACCAAACCAGAAGATGGCGCTTTTGTCGTCGACGGCGTTCTTGAGAGAGATGAGGAAGGCGTCTGTGGCAGCGTCTCGGGGCATGGCAAGGGTGCCGCCATCGACGTGACAGTACAGAGCCGAGTCCGCAAACTTTGCCAGGATGTTAAACGCCTTGTAGCAGGTTTCACGGAACTTAGTGTAACCTTCAGGGCAAGATGCTGGAAACAATGCTTGGCATTAGTGATACATTTATGGCGATTGCATAGTTGATGTTGAACATAATATAATCAAAGTTCATTTGTTTGAACAGTGTTGGTAGTTAAATGTTTGAAGTTAAAACTTTTGTTCCAGCAGAAAAGGTAAATGTTATCATCTAGACCTTTCGACCAGTCACTCTGGTCTTCCTCAGTAGACTAACCCAGTGAGACTTGTCACGTGACTTCTCTGAAGTGTGACATCACTACGTCAGTCTACTGAGGAAGACCAGAGTGACTCATCGGAAGCTCTAGGTGAGAACATTTGCCTTCTGTGCTGGAACAAAATGCTAACTTTGTTAACATATGTATCGCATATGATCAAAATGATGCAAGGGAAGATAGGGTTAGCCATACACAACAAAACAACAATTTTTTAAAATGTTTGAGTTGTGTTCCTAGTATAGAATGGTCATGATACCTGCAGAAGAATTGACGTTTCGGTGACCGACTGTCACCTTCCTCAGGGCAAATCTGACTGGTTCACATTGCACTGCAGCAATGCAGGAATGCATCTGTAGCAGTGACACCTGTGCTGCAATGCAATGTGAACCAGTCAGAATTGCCCTGAGGAATGGTTGTGTAAAAAGAGTCTCTTTACTCGTCACTATCTATAGTGTCATAAGTGCAGTGTTTTAGGGTTTTTTTATATGCTGTAGTAAACTATTCATAATAATAACAACCCACCATAGATACTGCATATCGATGTCTTAATGAAGCATATTAAGGTTAATATTTTTTGTAAAATTAAACTTAATGATTGTCAATGTGCTACAAGAAGTAATTCAGAAAATAGATGCAAATTTCTTGTTTTATGAATAAAACCATTTGATTGATTGATTGATTGATTGATTGATTGATTGATTGATTGACTACAAATGTCATTTGGCGTGCTTAGTGTGGTAACCGACCAAATGGCAATGGTGTTGTTTTTGTCA